CCTAAGGAACATCCTTATCGTTTGGGGTGCATGCCCGACCCCCAGGGGCAGAGCCACGCCCATTTTCTTTTCTTTGTATGTCTGTGTGTCGCCTATAGGCCATAATTCTTAATCAATCGTCTTGAAAATTGCTTATACCCTAAGTATGATCCCTATTGTTTTTGGTGCATGCCCGACCCCCAGGGGCAGAGCCATGCCCATTCCTTATATTTATTTATTTGTTTGTCATCTACAGACCGCATTTCTTAATGTATCATCTTGAAACATACTTATTCTTTGTACCCTAAGGAACATCCCTATCGTTTGGGGTGCATGCCTGACCCCCAGGGGCAGAGCCACGCCCATTTTCTTTTCTTTTTATGTCTGTGTGTCGCCTAATGCCACAATTCTTAATCAATCGTCTTGAAAATTTTTCATATGAATTGCTTATACCCCAAGTATGATCCCTATTGTTTTTGGTGAATACCCAACCCCCAGGGGCAGAGCTATGCCCATTTTCTTTTTTTATGTCTGTGTGTCACTTGCAGACCTCATTTCTTAATCGATCATCTTGAAAACTTTTTTATACTTATTCCTTATAGCCTATGGCTACTTTTTTATACTTATTCCTTAATCCTAAGGCTGACCTCTTATTATTTTTGGTGCATGCTCGACCCCTTGGGACAGAGCCACGCCTAATGTTTGTGTGTCTTGTGTTTTGCCTACAGGCCGCAATTCTTAACAGATCCTTTTGAAACTTTGCATACCTATTCGAAACGTCATGCTTTTAGAATAAAGACATCGATTGTTTTAAAATAAAAATTGTGTTCTGTTAATGTGAACGAAATGTTAAACTGATAGCAGTCCTACAACCCAGTTTTATTTCACAGACCCTCAATGCAAACTGGACCATATCAATCAAAACAGGAATGTGGACGTATATTGCTGTGTTAGCGATGCTCTTGTTCAAGATATGGTATACCTACTGAGTTAATTTCTGATAATGGACCACAATTTTCGTCGTTTGAATTTGCTCATTTTGCTCAAATTTGGGATTTTAAACAAACCACAAGTAGTCCATATAATAGTCAGTCAAATGGTAAGGCTGAAAGTTCGGTTAAAACTGCAAAAATATCTTTTACGTAAAGCTAAAGACTCATTCTGACCAATAGTTAGCTTTGTTAGATTTTAGGAACACACCTACACAAAGTATGTCTAGTAGTCCTGCTCAAAGACTTATGAATCGTCGAACTAGAACTCTACTACCTACGAAACCATCTCTTCTGGATCCTCGAGCTGTAGATTTTGCTTCTGAACAAGCCGAGCTACAACGTCAAAAAGACAATCATTTTATTACAATCATGCTGCTAAAGATTTACCCTTCTTGCATCCAGGTGACACTGTTCGCATTAAACCTTTTAGGTTAGGTGTTAAAATTTGGAAAAAAGGGGAGGTAATACGAAAACTGAATAAACGCTCATATCTCATTAAAACTGATGAAGGTACATATCGTAGGAATCAACGTTTTCTGTTTAAAACTTCTGAAGAATCTGATAGTCGTCATGATGATGTAGTCTGTCTGAATCCTACAAAACCTATAGAAAACAAGATGACTAGTCATCAACATCCCGCGCCCTTGCACTTGTTTGGAAGAATTAAGGAAAAGTAACTTGTTTATGCTATTGGTAATCAATATAAAAATTTATCAGATTTCGCAAACAGTGTCACAGGTCCTAATATTGTGGCAATGTTTAGTAGATATTGCTCTCTATTTCTGAAAACTAATGACTGATTGCTATTTACTAGAAGATTTGAGATAATTTATGACATAAAGCTCTGGTTTTAAAAATTAGACATGACTACATAGAAATTAGAGATATTTTGCAATTGGAGGGAACTGGAGCTTTAGACAAATCTCATATTCCGACGCATGGAATATCAATTCACAGAAATTCATACTCTGATCACAGTAGTTCGATAAGGCAGGGTCGCTACTCCCTGTAAGGTTTGCACAACAACCTTTGCCTACCTCAATCAGCTGCTGTATGTTAAACAATAAACTTATACATCAGAAAATAAAATAATATAATAGGTTAATGTTTGTACAAAGTTTCAAAAAGATTTCTTGAACACATTATAAAATATGCTCCAGAAACAAAATCAGGACGGAAGGCTGGATTTCAGAAAAAAAAATAATGGGTAAAATTATTTTAAAGGTATCTTGAACAGCCAAATGTGTTTCCATGGAAACACATAAAATTATCAAATCTGAGAAATTCAAAATAAGTGCCAAGAAGATATCTTGAACGATTTATGAGATATGCTCCGGAAACAAAATTGTACACCAAAAACTAAGTCAAATTTGTTTCCATGGAAACACAAAAAATATCAATCCCAGAAATTCCTAAATAGCAAAAGGCACAACTATTGTAATAGGTTGATGTGTGTACAAAATTTCAGAAAGATATCTTGAACGGTTTATGAGATGTGCTCCGGAAACAAAATTGTACACCAAAAACTAAGTCAAATTTGTTTCCATGGAAACACACAAAATATCAGTCCTAGAAATTCCTAAATAGCAAAAGGCACAACTACTGTAATTGGTAGATGTCTGTACAAAGTTTCAAAAAGATATCTTGAATGGTTTATGAGATATGTTCCGGAAACAAAATTATACACCAAAAACTAAGTCAAATTTGTTTCCATGGAAACACAAAAAATATAAATCCCAGAAATTCCTAAATAGCAAAAGGCACAACTACTGTAATAGGTTGATGTGTGTGCAAAGTTTCAGGAAGATATCTTGAACAGTTTATAAGCTATGCTCCGGAAACAAAATTGTACACCAAAAACTAAGTCATTTTTGTTTCCATGGAAACACAAAAAATAAAATGTCAGAAATTCCTAAATAGCAAACGGCACAACTACTGTAATAGGTTGATGTGTGTGCAAAGTTTCAGAAAGATACCTTGAACGGTTTATGAGATATGCTCCGGAAACAAAATTATACACCAAAAACTAAGTCAAATTTGTTTCCATGGAAACACAAAAAATATAAATCCCAGAAATTCCTTAATAGCAAAAGGCACAACTACTGTAATAGGTTGATGTGAGTGCAAAGTTTCAGAAAGATATCTTGAACAGTTTATGAGATATGCTCCGGAAACAAAATTGTACACCAAAAACTAAGTCATTTTTGTTTCCATGGAAACACAAAAAAATATAAATCCCAGAAATTCCTAAATAGCAAAAGGCACAACTACTGTAATAGGTTGATATGTGTGCAAAGTTTCAGAAAGATAACTTAAACGGTTAATGAGATATGCTTGAACGGTTAATGAGATATGCTCCGGAAACGAAATCGGACGGACGGACGAACCCCATTTCAATATCCCTCCCTAACTTCGTTCGGCGCGGGATAATGAACCTGCTGCTGTGAATTACCCTGAAATACAACCTGCAATATTACCAAGAAACAGATCTGTAACTCGTTTTGGTCGTCAAATAAAAACTCTGAGTTACTTGAAAGACTTTATTACTCAATAACTGTTTCTTGTGAAATTATTATTTTTGACACATAAGACTGTGTTTTAATGTTTTGTTTCTTGAATAGTGTGAATAGGTATTTGAGTTAATATAGGAATATGCTCTTTCTGAAAACAGAAAGGATGTAACATTATTGTCTGCTACGAATGTTTGTGTTACGTACTCCTGTGTTACGTGACTGTGACGTGGGGGCGCGCCTCGTTCTGGTTGTAATGGCTGATTAATAAAGTTATATTTACTTTTCTCAACGTCTCATTCTGACTAAGTCCCATTAATATAGAACTCTGGGGGCTAATGAAACATATTTATCATTGCACAAAGCTGGAAGGCCGGTCAACCTTCAAACGGCACTATGGCCTACTCTTATATCGAATTCCAACTGTCAAGGGATCATTTACATGCATGCCAATGTGTACACGGGACCTGGGTTTTTCGTCCCATTTAAACAAATAGGCAGCTGTCCTTGTCAGGCCCTCCGTCCTGCACCAATGACAAGGGGGAACCATGCCAGACAATCTGGATGAACTTTCTCAGCCAATGCAGGGATCGAAAACCCGACCTCCAGGCTAGCGAGCCAGCGTCTTACCCACTTAGCCACCGTGACCCCCAAAAGCGTTTTTTAAATCGGATAAAAACTGTTACCTCTAGAGGGACTACAAGCTAAAAATGCGATTTTTCGTACAATAAAGTTACGATCCGATATGCGTGAATATCAACAGGAACCAAAATCTTTGGGTTATAAACATGTAATTCAAGTTTCATCAAAATCCGATTAAAATTGTGTCCTCTAGAGGGTCCACAACCTTGATATACCATATATTTACACTATTTGTGAACAAGGGGCAGCCATTTTGTCTGGCAGTTTTGGTTCAATTTTACATTCAACCATCATTACATTGTAACAGTGATATATTCAAACGTTTTTTTAAATCTGATAAAAATTGTTACCTCTAGAGGGACCACAAGTTTTTTCGTACAATCAAGGGCCATAATTCAGGAAATTAACGATTCGATATGCGCAAATATAGAAAGGAACTAAGATCTTTGTGTTATAAACATGCACTTCAAGTTTCATCAAAATGAGATGAAAATTGTGACCTTCAGAGTGTCCACAAGCTACAAACGTGATTTTTCGTACAATCAAGGGCCATAATCCATGAAATCTCGATCCGATACATGCCAATATCGAAAGGAACCGAACCGAGATCCTTTGGAGATAAACCTAAATCTCAAGTTTCATCAAAATCGGATAACAATATTGTAACCTGTAGAGTGTCCAAAAACAAATTGGACAGACAGACAGGGGCGACGATAATATACATCCACATGAAAATGTGGACGTATAAATATGTTATCAAATGATGAACAAAACCTAAAAGGTTTTTAAATCTTGAAAGACTTGATCAGGATCTAAACTTACATCTCCTTATGAAGAATTATCATAATGTATTATAATGTGTCATAATATGCCATACCTAAATTAGGTTGTCTTTTTATACTTGGTAATTTTTCTGTTCGATGTGAACTTGGAAGAAAATCCATGAATGATGTAGAAGATTCAGAATCAAACATATGTCGTGGTGGCATTCTCCTCAAAGAGGCCGGTGCAGAAGCTGAAACTGAAAAAAAAAAGAATTCTAACAAAACATGGAAACAAAATCACAGGATTTCTGATTATTTCTGTTCAAAGGTTAATCTGCGCGAGTTAGCCGTTGCCTTCAAAAGGCACTGAGTTTGATTTTCAATGATCTGCCGATGATCTGCAAGAGCTAAAACTGTCTATTGCAGGTCTTTCTTTAGGCCTAAAATGTTATCTAAATTATTAATTAGACATTAATTAACCTATCCAGACCATAATCAACTCTAGATGGTTATGTTAGCCTGCGATCTTTAGTGGATTATGGGCCGATTTACTGCATAACTCTCCTTCTCAATTTAACGATTAAATGGATAATCGAGACTATGCTGTTTATCGTATTGACTTTAGTAATGATGATCGAGGCTAGGCAGAAATTTCAACCGCTTAGTTCTCGGTTCATAGTGGATCAATTTGAATGAAATTTTCAGCAAATTGCCTTTACATTATCTAGTTTTTAACTATTAGTGAGAACTCCCAACTCGTTATCGAATCTCCCATAATGTATCTTTAACTATTTAGAAATTTGCTGATATTTACAACTTATTATAATGTGGCGAACGTTTTGATGTGAGTTATATAGAAGTTTTACTGTTCTGCGTAATTATGACTATGAGTATGTTTACATTTGACCGGTCGGCCGTAGGCCTACTGTCAAACTTTTTCAACATGGCCACCATCGATGGAACTGATTTGAACATTTCATAGTTGTACCCAAGATATTTGTACCAGAGATCTTATTAATTTCTCTTTTGAGCTAGCTAGTGCTTAGTTAGGTCAATATGCACCATATGAGTATAATATTATTATTAGAATAGATCTTAAATTATTTAACTATTTATAATAACGGCGATATTATCGGTCAACAATTGAATTGTCAATAATTTAATAATAGACATAGGCCTATAGCCCCTATGGTACTTAGATCTAATAGGCCTAGTTTGGATGATTTCAACATGAATAGATCTTCTTTCTGTATTAAAACTGTTGACCATGATTCTCTGAAAGACTCTGAAATATCCTTCAACGCCTCTATTTTTAAGTTTATTAAATCAGATGAATTGCATAGTGATTGTGATTCCGATGCTCTGTTGAGTAGCCCTTATCTATATCAACCGTTATCAACAACTCTTGTCAACTCTATCTATAGTGTATACAATATATGGCTATACTGAATATTCCACATCCATTGTTATTCAGTTCCACTGAGTGAACTCTTATAAAAAATTTATCTCATCGTGTGCCAGTTCTCACATACTGTTTAAAAATAATTAAGATACCGGTAGTGGAAAAGGCAGCATCATGTTCATATTCCAAGAAACCGACAGTTAATTACCTTCTACAACCAGTACAATAAGCTACACATTCAAGGAAGGGGCAGTTCAACATGGGTTGATACTAATATTTTTCAATTTCAACCATACTGTAAACTTAATAATACCAATAATATTTGTGCTCTTGGTGATAGCCTACCTTCCGTATTGTCACTTTCAAATGTCCAACAACTTGTTACAAGTACGCCGTTAAAGGAAAACAAGTCTCTAAATTGCACAACGTTCCTCAAGCGCCAATTACGAATCCAGTCACAACAAATGAAAAATTGTCATCAAATATACATGTACTTGAACAAAACAATTCCAACACCCTTTCCACAATTATTAATCAGATTACAGAACTATCGGATAAAGTTAATTTTCTTATATCAGCCCAAAATAAACTTCTTATAAATTCATCTTCAACAAAATTAATTTGTGATAAATCAACTAGTACCTGTAATTCAGCTATAGATAAGTCTACTAGCATAGTCAATCAACAACGCAGCTACTAATAGACACATCCATACACTTTAAATGACCATGCGCAAAGTACTAAAGACTTTAATTATCTCATTTTAAATGCAAAATTGTAATTAGTTAGTGTTTTTTGTTTTCAATACTGTAGTGTCTGATATAAGGTTACTTATTAATCACGTGATCACTATTTCAATTGTTGTACCCCTCTATTGTTAATTAGAGTTGCGGGTATACAAGAGATGAATAAAACGTGTTTGATTAGATTCGTATGTGTATATTTTAATCTGAGTTAAATCCGATGCAATCCTTGAGATATATGACCGGGGAGATATAAAAATTGGTGACGCGGTAAATTTTCACGGAAAAGAAGAAGTATGGCAGGCTATATTCCTACAGAAATTGGTGGAATTCCAAATTTTCATTGTTCGGGGGATCCAACGTCCGTGGGGACAAGATGGCCCAAGTGGAAGCGTGCTTTTGAACTTTTTATTGATGGGAAAGGAATTCGTAGCAATGCACAGAAGAAATCGTTATTATTGCACTGTGGTGGTATACAGATGCAAGACATTTTTTTCACCTTTGATGTTCCCGAACCAGGAGAAGACGACAACGTATGCGTCGTGGCTTTGAGATTATTGGATGGCTATTTTGCTCCACAAATAAACACGCCGTATGAAAGACACTTGTTTAGGAAACTTTATCAATTTCCTAACGAAACCGTGGACCAATTTGTAACTCGATTACGTTTGCGCGACGACGCCTGTGGCTTTGCCCATGTTGAAGAAGAAATTTGGAATCAAGTTATTCAAATGTGCACGTCGCACGATTTGCGGAGGAAATGTTTGGAACGAGGGCAAGGCTTATGTTTGACTGACCTACAAACACTTGCCAGAACAATGGAAGCAACACAGAGACAAGTGGAAAATTTTGATAAACCTGCAAATGGCGGAAAGACCGAAATAAATCGAATTTTGTATGGATCTAGAGGGAATTTTGGAAGACGTCCACTTGAATCGAACTATAGACTGAATAATTTTGAAATGAAGTGTTACAGATGCGATAATATGGGACACAAACAGAGTGATGGAACATGTGCAGCGATACACCTTATAGGACCTAAGTCCGTAACTCAAAATCCTCGACATCGAAAACACAAATTATTGGTCAATTTAAATCAACATTGATGATGTAAACTTACCGGGAAAAGATGAGCTTCTGATATCCGATATTTAAGATAAAATAATTTTTTAACATTGGTACACGAATTGTGTACCATAATGCGCTTCAGGCCCAGTTGTATTGAGAGACTCGAGGGACGAGGCTAGACACATTGCACCAAATCAAATGGAGTTATGTAGACTAGAATAACTAGACGCTAGAAATTTGCACTCGATTGAGATTGCTGACTTATTTCGCCGAACATAACTGATTTGAAATTGGAGTAAAAACGGAAACCATTAAATGTAAATCAGTTTATATACATTCATATTACAGTATTATATGCGTTGCGACCCACTTTTGTGAATTTCTAGGTCCCAAATGTTAGCGATTTAGCTCCTTTAAATGTTATAAGTGCCATGACTATGGTCATTATGCTAGCTGTTGTAAAACTAGGTCAAAATCAACCCCACCGCCGACACGTGGACAACCACGCTACCAGCAATCTGGTGCAAGACCCAATTTTTCCGATCAAGGTCGTCACGACTATAAATACAGGAATCATTCCGAAGACATGAAAAACAAATACAGATTAAAATTCGTTCAGTCGGAAAGAGACAGAGAAGATAGGATGGCAGACGAATTTCGATATTTAAGAGTATGCGAAGAAGATGATTATATATTTAGTTTTGAGTATAATAAACAGCCGAAAGTTTTAGTTGATATTGGCAACGTTCCAAGTGTTGAAATGATTCCGGATTCAGGTGCTAGTTGTAATGTTATGGATCAAGAACATTGGGAGCAATTAAAACATAAGAAGATTAAGTGTCGAGAATCATTTTCAAATAAGAAACTTTATCCGTTGGAAGTGACCAACCATTGACAGTGATTGGGTGTTTTACAACTTTGTTGAGAGTTGGAAATAAATCAACCGAAGCAACAATTTATGTAATAAAAGAAAAGGGTCAGACTTTATTGGGAAGAGACACAGCCATAGAACTGAATGTGTTACAACTTAATTATGTTCACTCTGTGAGGGGAAAGGTTGACATTTTTGATAAATACAAATCATGTTTTGGGGTTTTGGGCAAACTAAAAAACTTTCAGTTAATGTTACCCATTGATAACACAATGAAACCTGTGGCACAACCGTTGAGAAGAGAGGGATTTAACATTAGACCTAAACTGGAAGCTAAAATAAAAGAACTTGAACGTTTAGATGTTATCGAAAAAGTTCAAGGCCCAACACCGTAGATTTCTCCATGTATCGTTGTACCTAAATCTAATGGAGAAATTAGATTGTGTATTGACATGAGACAGGCATGGTGGACGAAATTCTACACAATTTAAATGAAAGTACTGTATTTAGTAAGCTTGATATTTTATCTGCGTTCCACGGTTTACACAAGAATTTCAAGGCCAATAACGATGTTTGTAACCCATATGGGACTTTATAGATACAAAAGATTAATGTTTGGGATATCGTGTGCTCCAGAAATGTATCAACGGGTTATTCAACAAGCTCTCCAAGGCTTGGAAGGAGTTAGGAACATTTTTGACGATATTATTGTGCATGGTAAAACAGAAAAAGAACACGACGAGAGACTTGAAAAACTTCTACAAAGAATCGAGGAACTGGGACTTACCTTGAATAAAGGGAAATGTAAATTTAATATGCCAAAATTAGAATTTATGGGACATTTGTTATCAGCACGAGGTATAGGCCCTACAAAATCTAAAATTGAAGCTGTGACTGAAGCGAGACGACCTCAGAGTGCTTCAGAGGTGCGTTCATTCTTAGGTCTTGTTAATTATAGTGCCCGTTACATCAACTATTGCAGAACCTTTGAGAAAATTAACTAAGAAAAATGAACCTTTTGTTTGGGAATATGAACAGGAAGATTTGTTTAATAATTTAAAGCAATCTTTGGCATGTGCATGTACATTAGGTTATTTTAATAGGCATGATAGACCTTTTGTTATTACTGATGCTAGTCCTGTGGGTTTAGGCAGAATTTTGATTCAAGAACAG